TTTTCGGGGGGGGGGGGGGAGCACGGTTCCCTAGTTTCAATCCCCCCCCCCCCCACTTAACACCACCCATTGTCCTATTGCTTTTTTCATTTTTCGTCTAGGATAAAAACCTGAATATCTATTTCACAGGCCCCAAATAAAAATGAATGTAAGTGCTTAAAAAAAAAATTTGAAACTGGCCATAGGAAGGGGGAGCGGTTCCCTCCCCTGAATCTACCACTGAGTCGTGCAGGCGACGACTGCCACTTGAGAATCGAAGGCAGGGTGCTTTTACATTGTGGAAGGTACCATGAAGTTGAGTCATTTGTGACCGCTGCAAGGAGGTTGTCAGTAAGATTGGAGACACGGAGAGGTGCACGTGCTGATCACGTGATCATTCTCAAAATTATTCGTTTTTGTATTAATGTAGTTTTTTTTTTGTTTCTTCGAAGAAGCAGTAACCTACAATGTGCATAGCGGTCAATAAGTCGAAACTTTGAGCGTGAAATTGTGGATGCTTGGTTTCAGCCGTATAATGCTGTGATGAAGACCCTGTTGAGAGGGCCACTTGAATTCCTGACCACGCCTGACCGGCAACCAGAAGGGCCAGGTTCGATTCCCCGGCCGTCCCCTTGCTTTGCTTTCGTCCTCTCGCGTCCATCCAACACTCAGCTCTTCGCCTCACGCCAGCTAACGCTGAAAATGTCTCGATGTATAATTTAAGTCCTTTTTTGAGACATATTAATCAGTAGGTGTCCATTTCCTTCACATTCACCGGATATGACTCCTTTAGGTTTTTCTATGGGGTTACTTCAAAGACAAAGTGTACTCTACCAACCTCAGCATTTTAGAAGGCCTGAGTGACAATATCCGAATTGCAATTGATAACATCTCCAATGAGACCCTAAGAAAGGTGTCCAATAGCATAGAAGTCAACGTTGGACTCTTTCAACCCACCTGTGAGCAGATTCTTCTTAAAACAACGTAATTGCAATTAAAAAGAATTTTTCATCTTCACTTGCGTCACTACATGAACACCCCTTATTAACAGTTATTACTTTGTAAAAGTATAAACGGATGAACCAAACCCTGTAGGAGTCGTCCAGCCGCTGACTCTGGCAGGCTCAAAAGCTGAGAGAGTTTCTTGCTTAATCTGCCTGATTCGTGCCAGTGACAGATACAGAAATTATTCGTGGGGGGGGGGAAGCGCGGTTCCCTAGTTTCAACCCCACTTACCACCACCCTTTGTCCTATTGCATTTCTCATTTTTCGTCTGGGGTAAAAACCTGGATATCTATTTCACAGGCCCCAAATAAAAATGAATGTAAGTGCTTAAAAAAGAAGAATTTGAAACTAGCCATAGGGAGAGGAATCCACCACTGAGTCGCGTAGGCGATGACTGCCACTTGAGAATCAAGGGCAGGGTGCTTTTATACTAAGGAAGGTACCATAAAGTTGAGTCATTTGTGATCGCTACAAGGAGGTTGTCAACAAGAAAGGAGACACGCGAAGTGCACGTGCTGATCACGTGATCAAAATTATTCATTAGTCGGAGGTTCCTACCCACGTATCCATACATCAATATAGTACTTAAAGTACTTTCATACCTATGCGTGGAAGAAGCGGTTTCTCACATCCATATTTGCTACGCTACCTTCGATGGCAGTTCTTCCGATGAGCAGTACTTTAAGCACCATGAAGACGATACGAAAAAATCGAATGGCAAGTTGACAACAAGAATGACTGTCGAGCTCTGAGGATTTCAATTCATGACTCGGGGAAGACTCCGATGCAAGGAAACAAACCCATACTCTCGTCACTGACGGATCGAGACCGTCGGGAGCAGCGCCAAGACTCCTTCCTTTCGACGGGCGAACACTTGAAACACGGTCTTCACTGGAAACAAGTGCGCCACTCGGAAACACGTGCTTCGCTCTGGAAGGGGAGTCGTCTTTTCTACATCGCAGGAGACGAATGGAGGCTGGAACGTGATTTAAATTGGAGCAAGCCGATGGAAGTATCCAGCTAAACCTGTCTCGGCTCTTCTCGTGTTCCACATCTACCGAGTTTCTATGCCTCAGGGCCGAAACCGAGTAGTGCTCTACTCTGTTGCTCCACGATCTCCATCCGCCGATCTCGGACACCGTATCTCTGGTTCACCTAGGATTTTCGTCGTGCTGATCCTCTGCCCAAACTGAAGCGACCGAGTCTTTCTCAGCCATGAAACACAAGGAGGAGAGAAGCGAACCTGGACGGAGGGAGCGACGCGGTCGACTCCGAGCGGCACTCGAGAGAGGAATGAGGACGGCGAGGCCTCCAGTCAGCATCCGGGTGAAGCACCGATTGGTTCACAACAGGGAAGCCGAGNAAACACAAGGAGGAGAGAAGCGAACCTGGACGGAGGGAGCGACGCGGTCGACTCCGAGCGGCACTCGAGAGAGGAATGAGGACGGCGAGGCCTCCAGTCAGCATCCGGGTGAAGCACCGATTGGTTCACAACAGGGAAGCCGAGGGAGGGCGTTTCCACGGTGAATGGAACCAGTTGATTCGTCATTTACCATCTTTCCTGTCTGACGTCCTTGACGAGATGAATTCATGCAGTCATGCGTGGAAATCGTGTAGCCGTTCACGGCACACATTTTTTTCTTTTTCCGAGCTAGAAAGGCCGAACACTTCCATTTATCGAGTGAGTGATGGATCGGCAAAATATTTCTCAAAAACTCAATTTTGAACCGTGAAAAAACACGAACATTTTGATTGCATCGCAAATGAGACAAGGCGCGCAACAACTTAATAATCGTCGTTAAATTCGTTTTTAAAGCCACGAATGTTGCAACTAAACAAAACAATTAAGCTTACAATGGAATGCAACATAAATGAATAGGAGGCGGCCACCAAAATGTGACCACCAAAATGTGGCCAACGAATCCTGCAAGAAGTTAACGTCAGCCCTTGCACGTCCTATCGTTTATTTCTAGTGGAATTCGATGACAAAATTCTTCCCCGTCTTGACGCAAAGCGAAAGATCGCACTTTCGCGACGCATGATAATTCGGCGTTTGCAGCCTGGCGTCTTGCATCTCTCACGGGGATGCACTTTCTCGCGCATGATTCAAAGTGGTTTTTTTTTCATCACCGCAAATTACAGATATATTTACCATCTCTGTAAATAACCCAAAGAAGCTGGCGATATAAGGTGCTTCGGCACATTTCAGATGACATGGGATGCAATTGCAGATTCGACGCTGCGCGTGCGAGTCCCGAAGAAATGAATCCTCTGTCTCCAGTTACCTCTTGCGAAGTGTCATGTCACATGAAGACGATTTCGGGCGAAATTTCCCGGCAGTGGCTAAGGCATTTCCCCCGTCTCTAATCCATGCAGAAGGAAATGGCTGAACGACAGCAAATTGAAAACTACCCTCCCGACTGGGAATGCACAAGAGGGCCCACGGCCACTAACTCGAAGTGAATGTGCATGAACAGGGTGTTGCGGTTCCAAGTTCCAAATGCCTCCTGAATCACGTGAATTATTTAAATAATACGTGACCAAAGGAATCAGTAGAGTGCGCAGCATTTCCAGAAGGATGGAAGATTGGTATCATGAAGCTAAGTGACGAGTGGGACGGGGTCATGCAAGGGGAGAGGGGGAGGAGGTGGGGGAGGGGGGGAGGGGGAAGAGTGGGGGGGGGAGGGAGTGAGGGGAAGGGGCCCAATTGCTCCCCTCATCACCGGTCCTGGGGTGGTTATGTAGGGCGTGGGAGGGATTCGTATTTTTCATGATTACGACGAAATACAATTTCCGATGGAACAAGGTTCTGTTAGCACAAAACAAGCTAAACCTCTTTCTGAAATTTTTGTTTGCAATTTTGAATATCTTCTTGGAGTCCTTCAAATAAAAGGACATGAAGGTAGATTTGCCTCGTTCTCCTTGCTCAGTTCCACCGTTCGTGGAGCGGAGCAAGAAGAGAAAAGAAGGGCTTTCTGCTTCGCGCATTGCTAGGTCGTAACGGCGATGAGTCATCGGAGCATGATGAGTTAGTCATCGGTGCCTGATGAGTTAGTCATCGGAGCCTGATGAGTCTCATGACTGAGGTGCATTTCGAAGGAGTTTTTCGGCGACGGTGGAACATGAATCCTGCAAAATCTTGTCTCCCGGTCTCCCCAGTGTTACAAAAATCCGCACGGGACTCCCTCCACCGATCGACTCGTCGACGTGAAGCCTGTCATCGTGAGTCTCTGGCTCCAGAGAGTCAGGGACTCACGATTGGAGAAAATCCAGAGTGCGTTCCGAAATTCCCATTTCCGAGCTAGGAATAGCGCAAAGATGGAAACGACTTGTGGAAATCGCATGATTCTTCGAGTTAAGTACGAACGGTTCTCGATAAGACTTTGCACTTTCCACGATTTTCTCATGGATTTCCCATAATTTTTTCCAGCAGCTAAACAGTCTTTTTCCGATGTGTGTTTATGACAAATTTCAGGAGTCTAGTGCGAATTGCTTACTGAGATTTTAATTCCAGGTTCAGTGATCTTGAGCCATTGGATCTGGGGATATTTCATATGTAGAGCAATCAAATTCATGTCGTTTGGTATTTCCGCTCATTAAAATTATCTCGCGAAATGGAATTTCTAGTTCCCGATGAGCAGCACGCTGCACTTCGCTCTGCGCGTCAGGCGAATCTACGTTCTCCTCGTCGGTGACGGCAGTGGGTGGGATTTGCGGCTATTTCCGGTTCCGTTGAATTCGTTGCGAACCGCACGGAAGAGACTAGTGCGTCATCGTGGACTGTCGTTCCCTTCGGAAGCGATGGGGAAAATGGTGACGTTGGGGTTGGTCCGTCGATTTTTTTGTCGCCTTGTGATTTCGTCTGTACCCAACGGCCATAACAAACGTACAACTGGACTCGATGCGACATCCACATTCCATGAAGAATCGTCACGACAACGATTCGCAGAACAGCGATGAGGAGGCCTCCAGCTGCTTGGTAACTCCGTGAAGCTACTTGTTACAAAAATCGGCACGTCTTCCTTGCCGCATCAGTCGAGTCCGCTTTTCGCATCGAGATCGATGTCGTGGACTCCTCAGATGATGCTCGAGGAACTGGGAAAATGAAGATTTGAAGTCCTCCCATTTCGATTTTTTTTCGACCCGCATGAAACTAAATGAAACGAGTACTTTGCGTACTATAGGACTAAAAAAAAAAAAAACCGGAAATTTCCACCCAAGTGGATGGAAACATTGAGGTGAAGTGATGAGGTCAGGGGACATCACGACAGTGGATGGCGTTTAGAACTTTCTTCTTCGCGCCACTTCCATTGTCCCGCTTCTCCTTCTCCCCCTCCTCCCTCCTTCTCCCCCTCCTCCCTCCTTCTCCCCCTCTCCCCGCCCCATAACACTGCCTCTTAGCGTCTGCTTGAAGTGTAAGATGGATACTTTTGTTGTCAGTTAGACATAAACTCTTCGATATTTTTATATTTCTTTGCATTTCACATAATTTCATAAAAGACTTCCTTAGGATTTGAATGAATGTGCCTGAATTTACCATTCCTACCGTCGTAGCTGGAAAATATGATTCGTTAAAAGTGTGTTTCTTTTTCGGCTTGAATGACCAAGGAGTAAATATACTTAGTTGCATGGGCGAGCAATGGAGAAGAGGAGATTCAATTTTGTTTGATTTGGAGGCCGTTCCATCCTAATTCCATCGTATTCTTGGGAGCAGAAGTAATTAGTGCATCTTTCCGAGGTCAATAATGAAGTTCGGCAAGTTTAGAATTCGAGTTGAACGATCGGTGAATAATGTTTCACCCAAAAAAAAACTCCAAACTGCCTTTCGCTGTTTGTTCACTCGATTAACCCCCCCCCCCCCCCCTCCCCGACTTCCATATCAAAATGAATGTTCAGCAAGTTCAGCAAGCAGACCCCGACCCCCGCGATTCTCCCGCGCAACCCTTTCTTATTCCGTTATGCCGGACATGCGCACTATATTTTGCGGCGATTTCATCATCTTTTTAAAAAAGTGCCTCCTTCACGAGATCGATGTCCTGGAATCCTCAGATGATGCTCGAGAATCTGGGAAAATGAAAATTTGAAGTCCTGCAATTTCGATTGTTTTCGACACAGTTGAAACTCGTTGAATTTCCCGGCACAGGCAATGGCATTTCCCTCCGCCTCTGATCCATGCAGAAGGAGAAGACTAAACTATTGCAAATTGGGATTATCTTCTTTGTGCCCTTCAATTGAAGGACATGAATGTAGATTGGCCTCGTTCTCCTTGGTCAGTTCCACCGTTCGCGGAGCGGAGCAAGAAGAGAAAAGAAGGGCTTTCTGCTTCGCACGTTGCTAGGTCGTAGCGGCGATGAGTTATCGGAGCCTCATGAGTCTCATGACTGAGGTGCATTTCGAAGGAGTTTTTCGCCGAGGGTGGAAGATAAATGCTGCAAAATCTTGTCTCCCGGTCTCCCCAGTGTTACAAAAATCCGCACGGGACTCCCTCCACCGATCGACTCGTCGACGTGAAAGCCTGTCATCGTGAGTCTCTGGCTCCAGAGAGTCAGGGACTCACGATTGGAGAAAATCCAGAGTGCGTTCCGAAATTCCCATTTCCGAAGCGAGGAATAGCGCTAAGATGGAAACGACTTGTGGAAATCGCATGATTCTTCGTGTTAAGTACGAACTGTTCTCGATAAGTCTTTGCAATTTCCGCGATTTTCTCATACATTTCCTTTGACTTTTTCCAGTAGCTAAATAGTTTTTTTTTTTCAATGTGTGTTTATGCCAAGTTTCAGGAATCTGGTGCGAATTGCTTACTGTTAGTTTAACTTTATGTTCAGTGACCTTGAGCCATTGGATCTGGGGATATTTCATTGGTATAGCAATCAATTTATGTCGTTTGGTATTTTCACACATTATAATTATCTTGCGAAATGGTATTTCTAGTTCCCGATGAGCAGCATGCTCCACTTCGCTCTACGCGTCAGGCGAATCTCGAGCAACTTCGACGTTCTCCTCGTCGGTGACGGCAGTGGGTGGGATTTGCGGCTATTTCCAGTTCCGTTGAATTCGTTGCGGAAGAGACTAGTGCGTCATCGTGGACTGTCGTTCCCTTCGGAAGCGATGGGGAAAATGGTGACGTTGGGGTTGGTCCGTTGATTTTTTTGTCGCCTTGTGATTTCGTCTGTACACAACGGCCATAACAAACGTACAACTCGACTCGATGCGATATCCACATTCCAACCAAGTGGTTGGAAACATTGAGGTGAAGAGATGAGATCAGGGGACATCACGACAGTGGATGGCGTTTAGAACTTTCTTCTTCGCGCCACTTCCATTGTCCCCCTTCTCCATCTCCCACTCCCCCCTCTTTCTCCCACTCCTCCCTCCTTCTCCCCCTCTCCCCGCCCCATAACACTGGCGCTTAGCGTCTGCTCGAAGTGTAAGATGGATACTTTTGTTGTTAGTTACACTTAATCCCTTTGATATTTTTATATTTCTTTGCATTTCACATAATTTCATAAAAGACTTCCTTAGCATTTGAGTGAATGTGCCTGAATGTACCAATCCTACCGTCGTAGCTGGAAAATATGATTCGTTAAAAGTGTGTTTCTTTTTCGGCATGAATGACCAAGGAGTAGATATACTTAGATAGTTGCATGGGTGAGACATCGAGAAGAGGAGATTCAATTTTGTCTGATTTGGAGGCCGTTCCACCCTAATTCCATCATACTCTTTTGAGCAGAAATAATTAGTGCATCTTTCCGAGGTCAATAATGAAATTCGGCAAGTTTAGAATTCGAGTTGAACGATCGGTGAATAAAATTTCACCCGAAAAAAAAACTCCAAACTGCCTTTCGCTGTTTGTTCACTCGATTAAATCTCGCCCCCCCCCCCCCCCTCCCCGACTTCCATATCAAAATGAATGTTCAGCAAGTTTTTCCGGTGAAATCCTAATCAAATGAATGGAAATATTGGCGATGACTTTTTCACCCCGATTTTCTCAGACATTCAATGCATCTAGTAAAGTTGCCCAATCGCAATAAAATTACCCAACGGTGAGAGGATTCTTCCGGAAACGTTTTCCATTAACTTTTCGTAACGTTATGTGATCACAAAATGCCGTGACTGCGGGAAAAAAAAATCCCAAGGGTTTCACTTTGCAAGTAAATAAAATAAATAGTAAATAAAATGAGCATCCGAAAATGAAATAACGAAGATGGAGTAATTTCACTTTGAAGTATTCATGCATATATAAAAGGACATGGCTTTCAAACAATTGAGAAAGGATATACGTTCACGACCGGAATAAAATGTAAATTCACGTTTGTAAGATGCACATACGAGTCGGCGTGGCTTCGACAGACCCCGAGACGAATCACAACCATTGACTCCATCACACTGCACTCTCCCCCCCCCCCCCCCCCCCCTCCCAACCCGCAATGCTGGCTCAAAGGTATATAAGTTTGTATGCTAAAAATTTTGATAAGTACGAAAAGTAAGTACCTCGTGGTATTAGGGCTGCTTTGCCACAAACC